CGTCCCAATAAGCGAGATGACTTGCGAGGTTGATAGAAATATCCCTCAATGAACGTTGACTCGACTCCATAGTTCAACGGCAATGACTCGCTGCAAAACCCCAATTCCGAAAATTCTCTCTCGAACCACGAGCGACCCAGGATTGAGACACGACGGGCAGAAAAATGACATTGTTCGGAGAATGTTACGTTTTCTTCATGAGAAGGCTGGTCAACCAAGGTGGCAGGGCCAAAACTTGCCTATTGCATGTCGATGAGGAATGTATTGCAACTCAAGTTGCGCGCAGGTGAGGAAGCATGTTGACGATATCTCTTCCAGCCGGAAAATAGACAGACAGTGCCGGCGGTTAAGCCGGCAATCCAGTCGGCATTTTCGTCTTTGTCAGAAAAGCCTGGAGTTTGATATCTACATGTATGGTTCTCACGATGTATAAGTAGAAGGCCATCTCCCACCCAGATGCTATTGTCTTTTTGAAGGACATCGCTCTCACAGTCTCACTCAGAACACTCTCATTCACAAGGCCCTCAGCATCTCAACAACTCACTTACCACAATCAAAATGCTCCCTTCTTTCAACTTCAAGAGTGAGGACGCCTCCAAGGCCTCTGCCAACAAGCGCACTCCTTTCTCTCCTATCGGCAGCACTTCTGGTTCCCGTCTGGCTCAGAGGCAATCATCCAGCGCTGCCGAACAGAAAGCTCGTCCTCAAGCCTGGGTTGACACTCCTCAGCTCATCTACTCTGAGTGGAACAAGGCTGCCGGCGACATCAACCAGCCTCTTGGCAGCCTACCCTCCAACTTCTCGATTGGTCTCGTCGGAGCCGGAATCACCAATGTGGTTCTGGCCTTCAACCTGGCCAAGGCCGGCGCAGATGTCACTCTGATTGAGGCGACTGACAGCGTCGGAGGCCGACTTCGATCTCTTCCCACGGCTGACGGCGTCAACGTGGCGGAGATGGGCGCTATGCGCTTCCCTCCCTCGGAAGACCTTCTTTACTACTACGCCAATGAGTTCAACTACACTTTCATTCAGAACTTCCCCGACCCCGGCAAGGTCCCCACCATTGTCTATTACCAGGAAAAGGCTACTTCTTGGACCGACTCCAACACTGCTCCCACCGGCTTTGAGAAGGTCAACAATGGCTGGATTCAGCTTATCTCGAAGGGTTTGACCGGCGGCAGCAGCACCTTAGCCGCTGGCAGCCAGATTACGACCTGGCTGAGCTCCAATGACACTGCCACTCGTAACCTTGCTGTTGCTGAGTGGCAAAAGTACTTGGACACCTTCGGCGACGACAGCTTCTACACTGGCCTGCGTCGCATTTTCGGCGAAGGTCACGAGTGGGACGTTCCGGGCGGTGAAGTCTGGACCGAAGATGACTTCCAGCGCTTCGGCACCCTTGGAATCGGCTCTGGCGGCTTTGGCGCTGTCTACTCTGCGGGCTTCAACTCTGTTTTCCGCCTGGTTGTCAACGGCCTCGAGTCGGACCAAGCTGTCTTTGCCAAGATCACCGACTCCGGCCTGCAGCCTGCCGGTATCCGTGACCTTGCCCAGACCATCTGGGACAAGGCGACTGAGCTCGGTGTCAAGACCAAATTCTCGACTGTCGCCGAGGTTACCAGCGGCGGCGGGGATGCTCTTGGAGGCCTTGCTGTTGGTGTGAGAGAGACTTCTGGAGGTGTTTCCACCAACGTCGAGTACGACCTTGTCGTTGTCGGAACTAGCAATCGCGCCATGAACTACGCCTTTACTCCGGTCTCGGAGACCACTGAGGACCCGATCATGCCTTTGGAAGTTCAGAGAGCCATTAATGATCTCCACATGACCGCCTCATCTAAGCTCTTCATCCGCACCAAGAAGTTCTGGGAAACTCAGGGGGCTGGTTTCCCTCGTGTCATTCTTTCCGACACGAACCTGCCGCAGACCTACACTCTGGACTATGGACACCCCGACTACGGCATGGTCCTTGTCACCTACGCCTGGGAGGACCTTTCTCTGCAGATGACGGCTATCTCGGATCCCAAGGAGCTTCTCACGGAACTCAAGACCCAGATTGACAGAATCATGCAAGAGTCTGACTTCCCTGAGTATGCCAGCCTCCTTGAGCCCGTCACTGACGACGATATTTACCTCATTCACTGGCCTCTTGACCGCTACTCGTACGGTGCCTTCTCTCTGGGATTCCCGGGCCAGGATGTTAGCATTGAGTCCCTCTTCTATGATTGGGAGAGAATCAACCAGACCCAGACTTCGCGGGTCCTGATCAACAGTGACTGCACTTCGTTCCTTGGTGGATGGGTGGACGGTGGCCTCCAGCCGGCTCACAACACTCTTTCGGCAGTCTTGGAAAAGTTTGGAACTTTGAACTCGGCGGCTGCTCATTTGGCACCTTCTGCTCTTCTTGGATCTGGCCTGTACCAGTACTAGATATACCTTATGATTTCCTTGGTTATCTTCGATTCATCATACCGCTACCAGGTAGACTCAATTAAACACGCGCGTTTTCTCATAACACTGGTGAACACCAGCCGTCTAAGATACTTCGCATTGCCACCTTCTCAGACAGCTCTTGATGGGTTAAGCCATTCCGAGTCCCGTGACTAAGACTCCAATCGTGATGAACTCATTCATCAAGTAAAGTTGCAAATTTAGGGTCAGCGCCATATGATCTTGTAGAATTCCGATGCATTTTTGAGAGTTCTAGCGGATGGAGTGAGTCAACTAACACAACGCATCCCGCTCGATTGAATGTTCATGCAAACTGTTGCAGTTGTCTTTTCGGTGTCTGTTATACGGTGGAAATTTTGTCCGGGGTAGTTTCCGGCGTGCGACCCCGGTCGTCAATGGCGTTGACAGCCACATGGATCTGCAACTAGGCTGCTCGGCACTCTGTTGAACTCCACACAATAGACCTTGGGTCTCAGCTGACACACCCCTTAAATCTCGTTCTCGGCATGCAAGGATCAGTTGGGGCCTACCTGGAAAGGGGCCGACGAAAACTTGATGTGTTCTTTATCACATTCGAATTCGTTAACCTTAGTAAAGTAACTGCTGCCACTGCGGGCGGGATAAGTCCCGGGCGCTAGAAATGGGCAGTAAACCCATATCAGATATCGAAACAAGTCCCGAGAATGGGTCCATTCTGATGCGTGATTGAGCAGCTAGGTTATATAACTCAACGGTTTACCTAGCCATCACTTGGATTTCTAGCACTAACTTGGCCATCGCAACTTCAGTTCTTTGGATTCTTGTTCACGAAAGAGTTTGGGCTGGTCTCAGGCCCCAATTATCGACAACATGAAGTTCACTTCCGTTTCTAGTCATCTCGTCATTCTTTTAGGGGCTTCTTTATGGGCCCCGGAGGCAAACGCCCTCTGCTCCAATTCTTCCCGTTCAACCTTTAAACACCCTGGCTTACTTCACACTGCCAAAGACTTCGACCGCATCACCGGCCTCGTCAATGCCCAGAAGGAGCCATGGACGACCGGCTGGAGCAAGCTCAAGACACGCGCAAACTCTGCTTACAATCCCAATCCCAAGGAAACGGTGTGCCGCGGCGGCGCAGGTCGCGAATGTAACCCCGAAAACTACCCGTCTCTCTACCGCGACGCCCACGCCGCCTACACCAATGCCATTGCTTGGAAGATCACCGGCGACGAGGCACACGCCAACGCGTCGGCTCGCATTCTTGATGCTTGGAGTGACTCGCTCATTTACATCAATGGCTCTTCCGACAAGTTTCTGGCGTCCGGTATCTATGGCTTCCAGCTCGCCAACGCAGCCGAGATCCTGCGTGGATGGAAGGGGTGGGACGGCTTGTCTGCGATGACCGAGATGTTGCAGAGAGTCTTCTACCCCATGAACCATAACTTCCTTGTCAATCACAATGGCGCATCCATTGACCATTACTGGGCCAACTGGGACTTGGCCAATATGTGCACCATGCAGGCTATCGGAATCTTGTCAGACAACAGGACCATGTACAACGAGGCTGTCAACTACTTCAAGAACGGTGCTGGTAATGGCGCCATCAAGATTGCTATCTGGGAATTGCACAAAGAGGAAGGCTCTGGCAAGGCCCTTGGTCAAGGTCAAGAGGCGGGTCGTGACCAAGGGCATGCTCTGCTGGACTTTGCTTTCTTGGGCGTCTTTGCGCAACAGTCTTACAACCAGGGTGATGACTTGTTTTCGTACCTCGACAACAGAATTTTGGCAGGGTAAGTAAGGTCTATCACAGTAACATGAGATGATTGCTAACACGAGACCAAGGTCGGAGTACGCCGCCAAGTACAACCTCGGATTCGATGTCCCCTTTACCAACTTTACCAACAGTCACGGCACGGCTGTGAACATCAGCGAATCTGGACGTGGCGGACTTCGACCCATCTGGGAGCTGCTCTATAATCACTACGGTGTCATCAAGGGGCTCAATGCTTCTTGGACCGAGCAGATGCGCGACCACGTGGTTGAAGAAGCCGGTGGTGCCGAGGGAGGTGGCGGCGACTACGGCACAACCAGCGGCGGTTACGACCAGCTAGGATTTGGTACCCTTCTTTACAGATTGGAGTAGGATCGGAACCAGTTGCTCTTTCTCTGGGGTACTTCGGTTTGGCACTGATCTACATCCCTCACGTTTTCTACCACTTGGTGGCCACCTTCATTAGTTCCCATTTCATTGTCTTTTCGAGTGCTCATACTGTCCTTCCAACAGCATATAATTCTTGTCTATATTCAATTATCACTCTCACCTATATCACAAGATGTGTTCCTCCACCTTCGTTCTTCACTTTGCCACTGTGTACTGTTTGGTTCCATTCCATGGAAGACGCGTATATGTACAAGGCCTACGACAATCTTGCCAAAATACATGCTCCTGATGTTGCAAGCGGAACGAATTAGCCTTCTCGAGGCAACGATCCCATCATCGCGGAAAATGCTGTTTCTGTCTTGCTTTGATTTCTACGTATGTACATGCAAATATGCGACATATCCTAGATAGCTCAGTAAGCCCATATCAGCCCTCCCCAGCTAGGATGATCATTACTCGTCAAACGGCCCTCAGTTCCAACAGCATGCTTAGCTTTTGCAATCCAAGGCGCTTCTAGCTGTCTCTTGACAACATACTGGTAGTACAGAATATCCCACATTGGATTTGTAGCCGTTACACCTCGCTTGTCCTGGGAGATGGTTGCCCAAGGTCCATTAACAAGAACTGCTTCGCACCGATACCACTTTGGATCATATGAGACTGTCTCATTCAGGTTGAACTTGGCCGTATACTCTGCACCTTTCAGAAGCAGGTTGTCGCCTTGACTGTAGAGGTCGGAACCTTGACTCTGGGCTACCCGCGCAGCCTGAGCGACCCAACCCAAGCCGGACATGGCATGGCCTTTGACGATCATCAGTCATGTTCGTCGTCGAAAGATGGAGGGTGACTTACTCTGATCACGGCCGGACTCCGAGCTTTGGCCCGTCTCGGGTTCGAAGAAGGAGTAGAGCCCTGCACAGGGGTTGTTCAAGTACTCATTGATGGCATAGTTGTAGAGGGTAACATCGTCGAGATAGACAGCAAAGCTCAAAAGGGCCTTGATACTAGCCATTCCGTAGTTTGCCTGGCCAATAGGAATAGACTGTCGTGAGAACAACCAGTAGAGCTGGATGCTGAAACCAGATCCGCCTTGCCAGCGAGCTCCAGATTCGGTCCAGTTCCCCTCCCAGCGCATAATTTCCGCGGCATTAACAAAAAGATCGCCATCCAAGCCGATGAGGAGGGACCGGTCCGTGCCGATAATGTCGACCAACGTAGACCCCCAGCTATCTAAAATTGTCGTGCTGCGGTTCCAGTGAGCGTCGTCTTTGGTGATGTACCACATCAGGGCATTCTGCCATGCGGCTCGGGCGTCAGAGGCAAAGGAAGTGTAGTTGCTGACGCTGCCTCGTGAGATGACTGGCTTTGGTCCCTTCATCTCATAGGTTGACAAGCTGTAGCTATCCTTGCTGAAGACGGCATAGGTTGACGCCCAAGGATCTTTGTCTTCGAGGACCCCATTGCGGATACGCTCTAGATCCTCATGCGTGTGCCAGATACCGGGATGAACGAAGTCACTTGGTCGGCCCTTGAGGTACTTTGAGATATCACCCACGGGAGACGCGGATATGACTGGCACTGGCCCAAAGACACCAGGAATGTCGGCTACCGTGGCAAGGCATGACTGGGCGAATATGGCGGCCCATGGCAGAGCTGACAGTGATGAGAAGACCTGGGAGTCATGAGCACACTACCAATTCGAGAATGCTGAGCGGGACCTACCCTCATGGTGTTGCAACTGGTGAGACACACGGTCAGTAAGTGGACCTTTGGAGTAGATCGATGCTGAGTCGTGGAATTGGAAGCTCCGTCCCGTCATGACACTTCTGGCTGAGATCTTTTTGGGTATTTCATAGTGTTCACGGGGTACACCTTGGACTCCACCACAACCGGCGCCGGGTGAGGTTGCGGGCCGGGAGTGCAACGGCGAGAGTTTACGGCTTCGAAGATCCCCAGAAAGTCACCACGCGCCAGAAGTTCAGCAACATCTGGGGTAAAATGCGGGGGGTTGCATTCACAAGTATCTTGCGGGGAACCAACGTTGCTACACACATTGTATGATCCGTAAGGTTTGATATCCCCCAAGCCTTTACCTTCACATATCGCGATTGCGTGCCATGTGAAAGGGCATACCATCGGATTGCTATTGATGTCCCCGCACAAAAACTAAGAGCGGCGGGGCATCTACCGGAGTTCGTGTTAAACGCCCCGAGATTGCGTTGTCGGATTTGCTTACGTATCCGGTCAAGCTCAAGGCGTCATTCGTAAATCGCTATTTCTCGCATGGAGAGCCGCCAGGGATCTGAAACACATCATTAACATCACCAGTCGGTCAAGATCTCCACGCCGTCATGGGAGAAGACTGAGTCTGTGGGGCCAATAGAACAGCCAGCAGGTCATCAGCTAGGAGAGAAGGGGAACATTGAGGGTTCTGAGTTGTGGCGCATGTTGGAGTCATGATGAGTCATCATCGACGCTGCGCCAACGTCCATTGGCCCGATGCCTCTAAGAACGATCCCCTCTCCATCAGCCACCACCGCCACACTCCAGGCGAAGCCCCATTTTCGCGCGGCCGCGCCACGCGCACACTACAGAAGTCGCGCAAGGTCCCCAGGTCCTCCATCAAAGGTTGTATAGTGTAGTGGTTATCACTCCGGATTTTGATAACATCAAAATCGAACCTTTCCGGCAACCCCGGTTCGAACCCGGGTACGACCTCAATCTTTTGCCATCTTCCCTTTTGGCTCCCAACAGTGATGGGTTCCATGCATCTTAATAGTTTGGGCGGATCAGTGATTAGGCCGCAATCTTTTGGTGCCAAAATCTCATTTTTCACTTGTTTCTCCAACTAACTAGCAGCAGGGCCGACGCGTAGGCTTATCAACGCTTTAACAAAACCAGGCCTGCAAGAAAGCCAATCGTCCAAATGTCCCGACATAAACATACACAAATGACTACAAAGCAAGTGCATATCAGACCAGGTACCTGTTCATCGGACAAAACTTTGCCGCAGTTCGGGTTGAAGTCTGCAGGCCAGTCATTACCGGGCTTGTAGATTCCTCCTCTACCACTACCACCGCCGCCTCCGTTGTCCCCGTTCCCCGGTCCTGGCCCCGAATCGGACCCCGCTGTCGCTCCCGGCCCGGATTCGCACTCACCAATTGGCGGCACAGCATCGGAATTGTTGACTTCCACATCCGGCCCCGGATTCGGAATCATGACGTCTCTCGAATCCACCGTCCTGCATCCGTTGCCCACATTCGCCTTGAACATCTCCGGTCTTTTGTTGAAGCTCTCACCATGGCCGTGTCCACCCCCGCCTGCGATGTTGATGACTGCGCAGTTCATATACATCTCCCGATTTCCAAGATTGTTGAACCACGTCCAGGCGAGCACCGCATGGTCAGAAGACGGCGTATCGCCTGGCAGTCTGAATCCAAGTTGGGTTGCATCGCCCCTTGGGCAGCCGCCGATGAAGCTGCGGAGAACCTTGAATGAACTGCCGCTATCTACTGAGAGGCTTATTTGGCATGATCCTCCTGCGTGCACAGCATGGCCAGAAATCGTAACAGAGTAGCTATCGCCGGCGGTCCATTGACCGACGGGTGCCGCCTGTGAGGTACCTAGAAGGCTCAAGTAGCCCTTGCAAGGAAAGTCAGATCCGCTTGAGGATAATGGGGTTGTGTAGCTGTAGTCGGCATTCTCAGGTAAGGTGTTTGGATTTCCATTGGCTTTGATTGGGGGCGGGTCAGTCATGGCCATGTGTGCATAACCTCTGCCGGCCATGAACGTTAGGCCGAACCAGCATCCTATATGCATCGCGCGAATCCTTTTGTTGTGAAGTGGAAGAAAGAATATCTTCTTTTCAGCAGCAGTTTCAATGATTTTCTCTGCTTGACCTTTATCTTTGTCGGTTTCGAGCTTTCTTATGGAGATGCCATCGCATTCTCTGCTGTGGAGTGAAGAGTCTTCACTTAAGAGCCTATATAGAGAAATCTAATTCGTGAATAAGCCGAGTTTCGAGGGCCTATCTTGATTCATCTGTGATCGAATAATCTTGGCGGCTTACAGTGAATAAGGATTTTAGCCTCCTTGCGAAATCGGCATCACGACACGCCCGAAAAGCTGAAACGATAGACCATTCCTTCCCTTAGAGCCAGGCTGCGCCGTGTCCGCATGATATTCCATGTCAGTTAGCAATGATGGTACATCACTTTCTTCTTATGTTTCGGAACTTCAAATGCCCATTCATTGAGTCTCTCCAGATATTATGCCCTCGCCGCCCATGCAATCAAAGCAGCCCCAACTCCGCTGCCATCTCTCGCCATGCCGATTCTAATTCTCTTGTCACCCACAACACCAATCTCTGGAATTTCTCTCAAGGCTTCCCTCAAATTCTCTTCAAAGTTAGGGAAATGTTCGATCAAAGAACCGTCAACCCCAACATCGATGATTTCGTTCGAGTCCTCGCCATGATTTTCCGCCTGACAGCTATCCCCGTCTCCAGGTCTGGGGAGGTCGCTCGATGTTCCCTTTGATGAGATCGTGAATCGAACTTTTACATGAAGCCAACTCGTAAGCAGGTTCCACAGGCTCCGTGCCCCATAGAGAAAAGGTCTGAGAAGGTTGATTCCGAGACCTCGTGATATCGTCGCTGCTGGCTTGCTGACGCTTTTGGGCGTAAACAACCCAGATTGTAGAGCAACACCAGCGATTGCGACAGAAGATAGCCTGGCTGACCTACGCCCAATGGCCGCGGAAAGAATCTGTATCGCCTTTGCATCGTCCGTCGATACACCCGTAGCGTTGAGTACTCGTGAAATCTCTTTACGCGCGCTCTCAAGCGCTGGGCTTGAGTCCTTGACAACTGCTGACAGCAGAGAGCTATCAATGCTGTCCGGCGTGTAAAGCGGGGAGTCTCCCGAGACTTGAAAGCCAAATAGGCTCTGTCCAGGTTGTGACAGGTCGATTAGTATGCGCCGAAGTAGTTCACCAAGATACATGCCGGATATACGCTTCTCGAAATGCTGATCGTCTGGGTTGACAGAATCTTTGTCCAAGTCCCGGTCGAATCGTGTTGAAGGCAGCACTTCTAGCTTGTTGTCAAATCCTCCCCATTCGGTATTAAGCGCCATCATTGCGTCCGATGCCGAAGTTGAGAACTCTACACGTGAGTGCAGCTTGGTGATCCGAGAGATGCGCTCCATGTAGGCTCCGTTAGTGCCGGTTCCGAAGATGGCGCCTACCACATTACTAGAACGTCCCGGAGATGTGTATGCTCGCGCAGCCAAAGTACCAACGGTATCATTCGCCAGTGCTGTGACCAGGAGAGGTAAGTGTTGCTCATCGAGTGCCTCCTGCAGCATGGCACATGGGTCGCGGCCAACTGCATCAGCGATACCGAATGACTTTGTCCAATACAGTAGTGTTCCCTTGTTGATGGCATGCTGATCGAAAGTGAAACTGAAAGTGAAGCCAAGGCTCTTGCAGTGCTTCTGTCTTATTTCTTCAGTGATTGCATCTCCCTCTTTCAGGAGTTGAGACCATGTTGTGACGTCTTCTGGGTGATGCTTCTCCAGAAACTCCTTCATCTGCAGCGCGATGAATCTGAAAAGATCCTTGTATGTGGGCGCAGCCATCAGGTGTCTGGGGATGACGGCTTTGGACTGAGTCAAGGAGTAGGTGGAGTCTCCGTGTAATTCAACAGAGCACACCCTCAAGTTGGTACCGCCAAGATCGATGGCCAGGCAGATGCCCTTTTCGGAACCATTCGGTAGTTTGGTAACAAATGAAGGAATCTGGCACATTGTAGTGCCATCTTCTTTGAGGCCCTCATCTATGTGCGATATCAGTATACCGCGCAACAAGTCAGAGCTGACTGGACTTACTAAGCTGCTTCAAGAAATGAGTTGTGGCGCGACGAACATCTTCCGCTGGGAAATCGAAGTCATGTGCGATTTTTCGGGCCTGAGCTATCAACTCAGAGGCACTGTCATGCTCAAAATCAATTGAAGACATTGAAACACACCACTCTTCGGACACACAATGTTAGTCGTAGGCTGTGTTGGTGGGAAAGGCTAGGTTCATGGGTGCCAGCGCCTATCAGCAGGTTGGCAGCCGATCAAGTATCCAAACCCCTGCGGTAAAAGGAACGACTTTGGCACCAGAACTTGAACCAACTCCTGCAGCCAGGATACAACCGTTCGGAAAGAAAAGGAAGGTCACCTCTTCGGAATGTACTGTAAGAACTAAGAACACTCACAGCTGGCGCATCTTGCCACAACCATCGATGCCCCGGTGAATCCGGACCGGGTTGGCTCGGTGGACCGCTTGAAATTAGCCAGAAATCCCTCCAATAACAAACCCCCGGCCTATCGA